GAGTCGGTGAGTCGTTCTGGGCCACCAGCCGTGGTCACCGCCGCCGCCTTGCCGGAAAACGAGCCGCCGCCGCCGTGAGAAAAGTGGGAGGATGGTTCCGGCGATCTAGTCGTTGGATCATTGTGATCTTGGTGTCAAAATGCTCAGAATCTCATGGGTAATGAAAGCCCCCAATCAATTTTGAAGATCCATGGCTGAAAAACAAAGATTCAAGGTTTGAAATTCGGCCGGAATTGAGGATCTCGATCCGAGTAGTTAGAGGCCGAATTTGGTAAAATTGACATCGCCATTGGATTCAGAACCATCGATTTAGGGGGGTTAGGACTCAAGTCCGCCGCGAGATTCTTCTCCGGAAAGATCCGCCGCCGTACCGCCGCCGCCGCCGCTGGTGGCCGGATTCCGGCGAAGCTTTGTTTCGCAGCTTCTCGACTTTCGGTTGACGATCCGTTTTGAGGTAGGGGTCCTATTACTTAATTTTTGTGGAGTTTTATTTAATTTAATTTATTTTGTTAAATTTGAGAAGATTTAAATTATATTACTGTTGCACGATATGACTTGAAACAGAACCATTAGGGGCCCGTCCTGTAATGTACAGCGTGGCCAAGAGATTTTAAAATAATTTTGGAAATTGACACAAAAGCATGGTTAGGAGAATGTAAACCGGACACGATGGTGAGATAGTGTGCTAACAGTAGGTGTGGCCGTTCACCATCCCTGGGTGTGAACCCGAAAAGGTAAAAGAGGGAGAGGTGATGACGCTCTCTGGGGTTGAGAATCCCCAAGGTTATTGTACAGTGGTTACGTCCTGGTGAGGTCCGGAACGACAGTTCACCCTCACCTGTGGTTCGAGAACTGATCTGGTAAGGACATCGAGTTAGAGTTCCCTGCCATCAGTCTCTCTAAGTCACCGCGCCCTTCGGGGGTTTATCGTCCCGAGTGTACGGACTAGATTATCTCACTGACACAGGTTTTCATAATTTATTGTGCATAAAAAGTAGAAATTACTAACCATGCAGGTTTAATTTGAGAAAGGTAAATAAAACTAATAGTAAGTAATAGTTCTCCTACTGAGCATTTCGTGCTCACCCCCTTTGTCCTCATTCATTTCCAGGGGGTGTACAGTGCAACCTTTCGGACGAGGAGTAGTCACCGATCAGCGTGCCCCTCGTAGAGGATCTACAATTTTCAGTTTTCTTCCTTAAATTTGTGTAAGACCTTGATTGGATTACTTTGGACAGAATTGTAACTGATGATGATGATCGTACTGTTAAATATTTTATTGGTGCTACATTATATTGTGGATCTAAGTTTTAACGTAACGATGAATTATGGGTTTTAATTGAGAGTTTGTTTTAAAGGCCCATGGACAGACATTGTTTTTATTTCAGGAGTTTTATTTTATTTTATTTCTATTTGCGCACCGTTACCGCACTTTTATTACATAACCCCCACTTAGGGGCGTCACAATAATAATCATAATAGCAATCATAATAATAATCTTTTCACCAAGAATAAGAGAGATGAAAGGGGAAAAAAAAAGTCTCAAAACCAAATACAATCTCTTTGGGCAAAAAAAAAAAAACAAAAAAAAAAAGGAATAGAGACGATCTTGATACCACTCAATACCAACCTTTGATCCTCTCAAAAAGAGGAGATTTTCTGAAGAAGAAAGGGCATTCTTGAGTGTATTTGTTCGACAAAATCAAAATGCCACATCTCAAATGAATAGGGTAGCATCTGAAAAAGATTTTGTATTTAGCACTCATTAATATTAAAACACGGGACATCAGCGTCATAAGGAGGCAGGAAAAAAGACAACGATCATGTGAAAAATGATGAACACCTGAAAACCACAATCGGTGCAACACAAATGACAGCATGAATAGAAACGGCAAAAACATTGAAAAAAGGACAATGAAAAAGATTACTTTGCCAATTTCACTTTATTGGATATTTATTTTGACAAACTTCCCCATCACAAATTAGTGCTAGTAGTTGAAGCAAAATTTTTCCAGTTGCAACCGTATACAAGAAAAATTTGTTCATCATACAGTTCTATTCTAGCTCTTCTCGATCCTCCAATCCATTTCGGACAGATCTATACTCAAATATCCTCTCTCTAGCCTTACTTGCCTGAAACATCAACACAGAAAATGCAATAAGTTTATAAAATTATGCTAAGTAATTCTAGCGCTATTTGGATTGGAAGGCTCAATTAAGATTTAGAACAGAATTTGTTTATGGAATTCGAGATTGACAGAGAGGTGACGAATTGAGATAGAGGGTAGACCTGCTTTTCCCAGTTTGTACAACTAGTAACAAGACACAACAGAAAAACTTGCACAAAAGCACCAAATTGTATGCCAATCCAGAGGCCTTTTCCTCTGAGCTTAAACCAGAAACCCAATGTTGCAGCTATTGGAATTCCACAAAGATAATATGCCCCAAGGTTTATGAAAGCCCCTATATGCTGCCACCCACATCCTCTAGCAACACCTGAATTAAATTTTTATTTAAAAAATCAATAAAAACAAAAATAAAAAAATGAAAAATTATATTTTATTAACAGAAAAGAGATGGACAAGTCATGTACTGACCTGAAAGGACCCCTTGTAAGCTGTCTAGTATAACAGATATACAAATTAGAGGAGCCATTTCTGTGACATAATCCACAACTTCCTTCTCATTGCTGAAACTGTAACCGAAAACACGGCGGCCGACAAAGAGTGATATGCTTATAATACTTGTCTCTATGATTGTCAGAAACATTAAGGCAAAGGTAA